CACTAACCTAGGTGCAAAATCTTTAACCCAGGGACTTTTGGGGTACGCTCATCCATGTCATAGTCCCCGGTGTAGCATAAAACAGAGCCACTCACACTCTTGTCAAATGGTTTTTGCTTCAAACTTCCTAGAACATTCCATGGGCTAAGAATGAGCAGGGGAGAAAGCATAAGCCTACAGTCTGCCGTATCAGGGAGCATCTTTTTCCAGGCCCAGAGAGTGCAGAGGGCACTGAGTAGGTGTTCAGTGCCCCAGTGCTGTTTCGCTGGCTGAGAGTAAGGAGACTTCCAGGTCCCTGCCTTGAGGAAGGACCCTTCTCTGGGCCTGACGTGCTGTCTGTCCGGATCTGTGGGAAATCTACCCGCCAAACACGGACCCTTGGTGGGGCTGGGAGTAGCCCCTCCTCACAGAGAGAACCAGGGGCAGGTGAGGGCAGGTTCCTGCCTCCGGACAGCTCTTCCGGATACACTGTCACACTCCTCAGTGTTAGTTAATTAAAATGCAAGTTCTTAGGAAAACTGAAACTCAGTTTTTTGGGTTTTTTTTTTTTTTATGATTTATACAATTGAAGAGTTGCATCCAGCTGCACCCCTCGGAAAACAAGCAAAACCATTTAATAGTAAATTTAAAGTTAAAAAGAAAAATATCAGGAGTCTTGAAGGGTATTTTTTTAATCTGCTTTCAACCAAAGATAAAGAGAAACTTTTTCCGGTTCTTACACTAGCTTCCTCAATCTTCGATGCTTTATAGGTACATCGGTAGTAGATGTATGATAAGTCCTTTTTGAATAAAGAAAAAGTATGTTAATCCACATTTGGAAAAGATCCCAAAGGATACCTGCAGCATTGGCAAAAGCATGGATTTACTCTTTAGACACTGTTGCGGAAAATTTCTTCTTCCTTCTCCACTTCAGGAGCAAAAAGTAAGGTGGCTGAGCGAGGTGGGCGCAAGCGCCGCCCCAGCTGCGGGGGCGGGTCTGGGACTGGCCTCGATTTGCACCCCCTGGGGCCTGGAGGCAGGAAGAGCTTTCGGGAGAGCAGGGCTACTTGACCCGGCTGAGGTGGGCCAAGCTGCAGTAACCAACAACCACTGAGACACAGAGGCTTGCCCAAACGGTTCACTCCCTGCTCTTCTCACGCCCCAGCGCAGGCCAGGAAGCCGGCCTCCTCTGCAGCGCCTGCCTGGATCTCGCAGCTTCAAAGGCCGCAGCCCCGGGCAAGAGTGTGGAGGCTTGCAGGAGTATTTGTCAGAGCCAGGCCTGAAACTGGCCTAGGTCCCATTGCTACAGTCCCTCTCAAATGGCCCCAAAACCGAAGGATGCTGAGAAATGAAATTTAGCTGTGTGCAAAAGCAGAAAGCGTGAACACCTAGCACTGCCTGCCATGGAGTCAAAGGGGAAAGTGGAACAGCGAAGGAGTGGTGCCCAGGGAGAAGCTTTGAGTCAGCAAGTGCAGGGATGCACGCCACTTCCCCTTGGCCTGGGCACCTTCTCATCTGCTAGGGCAAACCCTGCGCCACACTTAGCTAAATGGAAAGACTGCACTAAACACAACTCAGCCGGCAGTGGCATCCAGGGACCCGTAGCAGTCAGGCACCCCACACTTTTTTGCACGTGTGAGGCCCAGAATATGATTGAACCTAAAAGCCCCCAACTCTGAAAACCATGATTCTTGTAGGACTCGGGGGTGGGGAGGGGGGCGCGGAGTGGGGGGCAGCTAGACGTGCTCTTCCACACACACGCTAAAAATTAGACCAGAGGAGAACGGAAACAGAGTTTCTCTCCAAACCTTCGTTCACGACCCGAACCTCGTTCTATCTGCCACTTTCAGAGAGGGCTGAACTCTGTCAGATCAAGGTCCCAGCAGAACAACAGCCCTTGAGGGGCTTGTGGCCTGGTGGCAGTCACGCCCACCCTGCTGGCCCAGACTTCGCAGTTGGCCCAGACGCTGCCTGACTGCCAGCAGAGAAGACAGTGGAAGTTTCCAATGTAGGCTTCAGACTTTGCAGATAGCCCAGCAACACCCGCCCTGGTGTGGGTCCTGCACGTTTGCCTGGGTGTCTAGGAGGGGCACCAAGGAAATCTGCACGTCAAAATCTAACTGAATTCATTTTACATCAGTGTTTTCATGAGCAAGAGGACTTTCCCCAAGAAGTACTCTGAGTAGAAGCCAAGGCCCTTGTCCTGCCCAGATTTCTCTCTGTTCTTTGGAGTTAAGGAATGAGCACCCTTTTCTCTCAGCTGACCAGCACTGCGCCACCCCATCACTTGGGGGAGCTGGCACACTAGCCATCAGCCTTGAGCCCTGCCCAACCACCATGCTGAAGAAGGATGGGAACAGAGGCAGCCCTAGGCCCCACACTGAGGACTGAAATAGCACATGAGCCACCTGATGCAGTCCTCCTCCAAATTCGCTCAGATGCACTTTGGTGCATGGGTAAAAGTACCTAAATAGGACGGGGTGGCAGGCAGTTAGCAAAATGGAGCAGAGATTGGGACAGGTCTGTAGGCTGCATTTCTCTATCAGCTACACTGTTGTAAGTATCCTGGCTTGTACTGGGGCAGACAGGCCAAAACCAGCGCCTCGCTCCCATTTTCTGTCCTCCAGTGCCCCATTGGTTCTAGTCTGGCTATCTCTAGGTAAATGGTGGGGTGACCATCATCTACAGGCAGCCTAGGCCTGCCTTGGAGCTGGTGCCCATCCCTCCTTCCTCACTAGAGCTGGGAGGGGCAGCCTCCTTTCCCTTCCTCTCTGCCCCACAGACCCTGCCTTGGTCACCCTAGAACAATGTAAATATATGAGTTACCAGCCACGCTGAACTTCTGAGGACTTCTGAGCCACTTCTCTGAGTCTGGGCCAGAGTGTCAGACTCCTGAGAACTGGAGGCGCCCCGAGGGTACAGTGCTGCTCAGCCTCCCCCTAAGACCCACTGACCACACCTGTATCCTAGTTGTGCCCCTCCCTCTTGTCCCCAGGGGCATGGCTTGAAGGTCTTCCAGGAAGAACTGAGCCCAGCAGCATTCACACAGCACTGATATAGGGGTGTCTGGCCGCAATGAGAGGAGCGCCCTACCATGGCATGGTTCCTGCCACCCCAGAGCCAGCAGGGGGCCCCATGTCCACGTGAGAATGCTGCTGCCACCCCGAGAGATGCTGATCACAAAATGAATGTTGACCTCTGGCATCTGCTCTCCCAGAGAGCCACGGAGCAAGCTCTGACCAGACCTCTGCTCTCAGGGCCACAGAGACTTTCATCTGTGAGAAGAGGGCAGGAACTGTCATGGTTTTGCATCCAGCATCATCTTCAGGGCTGGAGGGATACCTGTGGCAGCCTCACGGAGGGAACATTGTCTGCCTCTCAGTCAAATTAGCTTTTCAGCAGCTGTTCTCGGTCCTTCTCCTTCTTGTACAGAACAGAGAATATCCAGAATTTTGTTTTCCACAGAGGAAAGTTCCTGTTACAACTTTTTGAAGACTCTGAGGAAAAATAGAGAGAGGTCACAGGAGTGCTAGGGCAGAGGGGAAGCTGGCTTTGACCCAGGGATTCCTGCCCTGCTGCTGGGTACCGTGGTGCTTCTGGCCACACCAATCGCCAGAGCTTGGAGGTCCTGAACTTCAGCTTAGGCTTGCAGACCTGAGCACTGGGTCAGGCTGGTACCTATCATCGAAGCAGTATCTCTCCCCCGGGGGCAGACTGACTTGTCGACTTCTGGACAGTCACAGGTGTCCTGAGTCCAGTGGAGGGAAGCACCACTGGAGGCCGCATGTGTTGGGTGGCTGCCCGGGAACCGCAACCCGCCACCGTAGTCACTCAGCAGGTCTACAACAGCTGTTTTCTTCCTTAAAAATTGTTCCCAAGAAGAAAGGTATTTTGTTTTAATGAGCACTCTGAAACTCCTTCTGTGAGGGTCTTTAAGTAGCAGGTACCTGGGGCCAGGACCCCCAGTGTGCCCCTGGGCCGGGCCAGGGTCCGCAGTGTGTTGTCCAGATGCTGCACCTGGGGCTGGGGCCCGCTGAGTGCTGCTTTCTTCCTCCTTTTCTGCTTTTCCGAGTGTGCTCTTGAGCGCAGCAGATTGAGGACCAGGACGGCTCTGTGCCAGGCTAGGTTATCAAATTCATGATAATTCAGGAAAAAGGAAAACGGCCTCGGGTGAAGGTGTGTGACTGCCCATCCAAGATGTCTCCATGATGTCATCGTAACCAGGACACATGCACAGTCCACAACTGAGAATCAGTGCTCACGACACTTCAGCACTGAAGAGGAGCAGAAGCCCGGAGGAGTCCTTTTGTATCACTTCTACTAATGGGATCATCTTGCATAATTCCAGCAGTTACGTGCATTGGAAGTGCCGTCGTGAATGCAGGTAGGGCTTAAACACAGGAGGGAAAAAAACCTGTAGATCTTCCACTTTGTTGCTTCATTTAAGAGGTTAGCAAATTTTAACCAAAGTGTAGTTAATAAGGTGCTTTAAACAAACTGTTAAAAAAAAAAAAGTAAATCAGATTTTAGAGTTCATTTAATGTGCTATTATTTTAGAAAAACAATTGCAGTCTGTTTTATGATATCTATGGCAACAAATACATGACTATCAGACACAGCATTTGTCTCTATTAACATATATTTCCCGTGCCTGCCAATCCTCCTGGTGATGGAAAGGGAGCTTGGTTTGTGTTGTTGGTGGTGGTGGTGCTGTTGTTCTGAGACAGGGTCTTGCTATGTTCCAGGCTGGTCTTGAATTTGCTGTGTAGCTCAGACTGGTCTTGAACTTGTGACCCACCTGCCTCAGTGCTGGGCTTGTACCACCATATCTGGCTAGCATCTTGTACTGTGGTGTGTATACTGAGTAACAGTGTGTCTATGTCAGCATGTTTTGACTCCCTGGCTTAAGGACTCACCCATCAGGTAAACAACTGTCCGTGCCTTCTTTCTGTTGCCCTTACTTTTCAGCCTGTGTCCTTAGTTCATAGTTTGTAAACATTGTCATGGAGGCTTTGGGTGCTTTGCACAGTCTAAAAAGATGGATAAAATTAACTATGTTAGAGTGACCAAAGCCCACTTCCTGACTTGGAAAATGGCAGAAAGATCACTTCTCAATACATTAAGTCTGCAGCTACATTTGTTGTCTCTGTGTCTTTTGATTTTGAAAAAGGGAACTGAAATCCAGCAAGTCGTATTAAGAGTCCATTCAGAAAATGAACAAAAAAGCAAATGAAAATGACCCAGAAGGAGGTGGTGTATTTTTCATTTTGCGTTTTGTATGCATAAATGCCTTCTTTATAATTTGCAATTTTTTCTGAGAGGTGGTGGATTTTCACTTCAGAGGCAAACAAAATCATGATAAGACAGCCACAGGAGCCTGAAACAGAAGGGACAAACAGCATGTTAAGATAAATATTTCTTGAGTGTAGGGTACAGGAAAAAGAGTGGATGAACAAAGAAAATCTTCTACCATAACCCTCATTTATACGCTGCAAGTTAAACCAGGTGTGGGGTGGTGCACACCTATAATCCCAGAACTTTGGTTGTGGAGGCAGGAGGATCGCTGTGAGTTTGAGGCCACCCTGGGCTACGTAGTGAGTTCAGGGCCAGCCTGACCTATAAGATCTTATTTGAACACCCCTTAAAATCCTGTTTCAAATGTGTCATCATGAGCCTGATTTCTACACGCAGTAGTTCTGGGTTTGAGCTGGTCTTACAAAGACTGGAGGTTGAATTGCTGGGTTCCTTAATAACATAACAGCAGAAACAGGTGGTGAAGCAGCCACTTTGGGGACATGGCTTCACTTGATCTTAGCCAAAAGGCTGAGAAGCAACGGTGACATGGCTTTAGGAGACCAAATTTCTCTGTACTTCCCAGGTGATGCCTAAGTGTCACTCATATCACCCCTTGTAAGAGACTCAGCCCTTTCTCTAAAGGATGGCCACGCCCCACCAGCTCCCAACAGGGCCCCAATGCCCATGGGCACGGTGCTGAGACACAGCACATTAGTGTTTTCTTTGCTTGTTACCGAACTCTGACTTTCTCCTGGGTACATAGCTCCCTTGAATAAGAACAACATCATTCAGTGGGATTCGGACTGGGTGGTCTCAGAAATGGACACCACGGGCCATGGAAAAACAAGAAAGAAAAATATGGATCCTGGATACCTGGAGACACCAGACTAACTTTAAGCTTTAACTCTGGATTTTCAGGTGGGAGAAGAACCAATGTGTATTTTGTTTAACCCACGATTATTATTTTTCTGCATCATTTATCACTCATCACTAGCCTGATCTAATCTTAGCAATGTAGCTGTGGTTTTCCGGAGATCTCTCCTGCTCCATACTGCACAGAACCTGGAAACTCTGATGGGTCACCTCCCCTAAGGCTGAAGGCTGAGAGCCCTGGTGGATGGAGGCCGCTAGACAAGAAGCACGTGGCAAGAGGGACCAGAATACGATGCATGACCTGGGCTCCACGGGGCTTCTGCTGCTATTGTTGCATCCAAGCCTGTCTCAATGGGCTCTCAGGTAATAGGAGACTGGCTGGTACGGTTTTCTGACTTTGATCAAAGCAATCTGGGTTCAGTACTAATACTGGTACTAATATTTTCCCTTACTATGTGAGAGAGGCAATTTGAATACCAGTCTTGTTTTTCTAGTCTGAAAAGGGGATCAATACTAGTACTACACAATTGGCATTTGACATTAGAATTGATACCTGTAAGTACTTATTGGTAGTGTTTGCTATGATTTATATGACTTCCACTTTTCAGGCAAGTCTTTATTGTAATTCATTACCACACACCAGGAAAACCTGGCTATGGTACTGTAGCCAACCACCAAACATGTATTACAATGCTTATTCCTCCAAATACTCTCCCATTAAGTTTATAACTCCTTTAGGAGGGCTAAATGCTTTTTATTCTTAAATTACAGTTAATTCAAATATCCTGGGAGTAGCAACATAGTGGCTTCAGTTCCCATTCATTAATTCACTCATTCATTTTTTTTCCAGTTAAACATGTTATGTGACAAGCACAGGGATTGTGATGGAGACTGAAACATTAAAGAAAATATACATGGCTTTTGCTCTCACAAGGTATGACTTAACAGAAATGTAAATACAATTATAAACCAATCGCAGTGAGTGTAACAGTAAGGTGCTGTTACTGGGAAGGTGGGCAACATGTGGAAGGCTCTCAGGAGAAGGGCAAGGAAAACTAGGAAACTGAGCAAAGGGAGGCCGGACTGTGTGGAAGAACATTCCAGGCCTGGGGAGCTGCACTGCAAGTTACAGTGGACCCCAAACTTTCCCAAGGGTTGGGCTTGGACTGGGGTACAGTTGGGCCATATGGGGGGGAGAGAGGCAGGTGTGAGCAGAAAACGTGGCCTCGCATTTCTTCTGCTTTCGAGTTTCACCCAGGACTCACCCAGCGGCCTAATCACCATCATGGAACCCCCCAGTAATCAAATGATGTCATTTCATTGAGACCTCACTTCCTGCCACCTCAGTGTGGTAGTTGAGAATGTCCCTTTGTGAGACTTGTCAGCCTGTTTTTGTATTCTGAGCCTCAGACCATAGTTCTCCCCTTGCAGAACCATATTTATTGTTAGATCCTAACAAAAAGGCTGCAATGCTGTTTTTGCTTTATCTTTTATTTGAAAATCAGGGAGAAAATGTCATTGCTTTTACCATAAGAGCTCTCTTTGTCTGTGGAGATGGTGAATTTCAGACAGAAGTGAAACACTATTTCCTTAGTGCCTGAAAGGAAAATTCAAGCTCGGTTTCCTTTTCAAGTTGTTAAATATTTTAAAGGTACTACTTTGTTAAGAAAACAGCATCATATTGAGCCTGCATTTCACATTTCTAAAGTAAAAGTCACTTGGGATGTGTGGAAACTCAGCACCTTTGCCAGGCCTAAGATATCGAGCATCAAACACCCAAGACAGCTTGCGGTCTAGTTGCAGAGAGGATGGTCTGAGAACATGCTCTGGATTCTGGGATGGCCTGTGAGCTCACTTCAATCACCCCAGAATCAGAGGATTGAAACCTAGCCTGATGTGTGAGGGGCAACAACTCAGTGTGAATTTGGAATATTTTTTGCTCCTCTCTGTCTGTAGTCATAAAAGAGACGTGAGATCAAGGATAACTATTTATGGCTTCTGGACCAAAAGACACATATGAAGACCTCTGTGTGGTCTGGCTGCTGGGACCTGGAGGGGGACTACGGGAAGTGAGTGGTGGTCAGAACACGGCTCTGTGCACTTCCACTGGGACTCTCAGATGCCACCAAGAGGGGCTCCTGCGTTGGACCCCTATTTAAAGAGCTTTCTCTTTTTTTCTTTTTAAAAGGGTCTCTCTCAGTTGGCATGAGGAATCCTAGAAGTCACCACACTCCTAGAGCTCTGGAATTCTCTCCCTAAACAGCCTTGAGCCCATTTCCAGGGCTTATGTGGTGTCTTCTCTGGGTCAGTGCAGCCAATGGCAGACTCAGGCTGGTGTTACACAGCCCAGAACAGTGAGGGTGGCAACAAACTGCCCTTTCAAGGGGCGTGGTCAGGCTCAGACTCAGTACAATGTTCAAATACCCATCCTGAGGTCCTGGACTGAGCATCACACAGCCCAGCAGGAGGAGAGAGGGAGGCAGACTGGGGACCGGCTCTGTCCCTGTCACTACATGCAGAGGCAGAATTCTCACTGGTCAAGAATTCTACATGTGGGGCCAGGAGATAGCTCAGTGGAAAAAGTGCTTGCCTGGCAAGTGCAAGGTCCTGAGTTTGATCCCTGGTAACACACACACACACACACACACACACACACACACACACGAATTCTACATGTGAATCTGCCCTTCCAGGACTTCTGGAGGCATATTTCTCAAAATAGAAAAATAGAACACATTCTGTTTAAGACTTTTCTTGTCTTAGAACTATAAACATTTAGACACATTTTATGGGGATTTTCATTCATATTCTTGCCTGCAATATCTCATGCGTTTGGGTCAGAGCTGTGTGCCTCTCTGCTCCATTCCCATTACCCATGCACACTAAGAGCCCAAGCCGAGCTGGGGCTGTTGGAACCAGCTCTCACATCGTCTTTACATCTGACCAGTGCTGCTTGGGTCACAAAACATTAGAATAAACTAAGACTTTGGAAAGCTTACTGGGTGTTGCTCAAGCTAGAACTTGGAATGTAACCAAAACGCTGCCCAGTCCACGTTTCACTATCCAGAGTCGTACTCAATGACCTGTAGCCGTTTTCCTTTCATCTGTCTGATTCCCTGCCATCTGGCTGGTGCTATAGTCGTTGCTCTCCATCCACCCCCCTTTTAATGACTTTGATTACTGAGTTAATTTCTGACTGAATAGGATAGCTGAGTTATGGGGTTGTCACATCATGAATGATCAGCCAATTAACAAACATTTGTAATGCGCTGGATGCTGCACGCTCACGACTCCTCTGGCAGCTGCCGGGACTGCAGCGTGCGGCGTCTGTCTCCTCCTGTCCTTACAATAGGGGACATAGGTCACAGCCAAAAGGGAGCTGCTGCTTCATCCCTGCATGGCTCTGAGTGTAACTACATTCTTTTTGTTTTTGTTTTTAGTACTAGGGATTGAACCCAGGGAATGCTGTACTCTTCCCTTTTTAATTATCTCTGATGTTGACACAGGGTCTGACTAATTTGCTGAGGCTGGGTTCTAACTTGAGGCCACAGTAGGAAGCTGGAATTACAAGCATGTGCCACTCTGCCTGGTGCTAACTGTGCTGTCATGGGTGGGAACAGCCTGCCAGGATCCGTGGGAGTCCAGCAGAACTGTGGCCTTACAGTATCACAGGGGAGGAAATCCCTGAAATGTTGTCCTGCTGTCACTAAGCTAATAGTTTGAACAATAGTAAGTTAGAATCTCAATATAGAATGAACGATATTTTCAGAATGAGAATGCATCCCCTTTTCATAGTGATCCTCCTGCTTTCAGCCTCCTCTGCACTGGGATTACAGGGGTGCACCACCATACCCAGCCTTGGTGACTGGCTCAGCGTGCCTTGGGGGTGGGGCCGGTGCAGCATCTGGTGCCAGGGATCAAACCCTGGTCCCCGTGTTTGCCTAAGTAGGCACTTAGTCAGCTGAGCTATCTCACTGGCCCAGCTTTCCATTTCTGATGTGGCACTGTAAATTGATTATCCCCTTCTTTAACTTGTGAGGTGATAAATAAGGGTGGGGCAGACACAACTTTTCAGATATAAGTGAGATGAGATTATCAGCAATGATTTCTTTCTCACTAGAAAGTGAGATGAGGTTATCAGCAGTGATTTTTTTCCCAGATAGAAATTGTCTCAACTCCATACTACCTCAGAAAACCTGGTCACCAGCA